CCTCCCAGGATTCTTGTTTCACCGTTGGAATGTTAGTTAGTAATTGAGCACAGAAAGGGAAGCAGGAGGGTAGTTGGTGAGAATAAATAAGCTTTCGATAAATTCTCATCGAGTCAGACACTAACCCTGTCCAACTCTACCATATTCATTATCAGTGAAATTGTAGAGACCCGATCTGATGATGAATCGTCGAAAACATACGCTTACCAAATATACTTTTCAAGTTAAACATGGGGAATATTTGCTGCTCTGTTTTCACTTGACTTGTTTACTTCCTAATATTCAGTTGACTGACACCCACTATTTCCTTCAGGTGACTCAAACGTCTACACAATTGGATACATTGGGAAACAAAAGGTGATCTCAGTGAAGTTGCCTATGGTCGGTCGCGAACTGCAAGCCAAGATTTCCTCCGGCAGTATTACCACACGCCTGCTTGGTACAGTTCTTACATTTAAATGACTAAAAGAAACAGTCTACTGATAAAATACGAGTAGCTGTATTACCCAACGACTTTTTATAACCCACTAGGTGCGTTCCAGTCAATTCAGCATGTCCTTCTGGTTGGTGTCGGTGGCAGCGTGTCCCACGTCTACGAGTTTAACAAGCACTCGCGTCTTGGCGATATTGTTGTCTCCGCGCCAGAAAGTTTTGATGATGCTCCAGAGGCTGACAAAGTTAATGGCAAGCCCCAACAGGTCGCTGAACCATTCTACGTCTACTGCGAAAAAATTGACGAGCTGTCTAATGGAGCTACTACTAATGGCGGAGCCACGGCGCCCATTCTCTTCTCGTACAGAAACTTTGCACCCAAGGATCTGGTGCTGCTAAGCTGTGCGAAATTCCTTGTTAACGAATTCAAGAAGGCGCCCAAAACCTGCCCTTGGATGCGATTTATCGAAGAGGGTTTGCAAAACCTCAAAGATAATGAGTTTGACTACAGCAGGCCGCCGCCAGAATCCGACAAATTAAAACTGCAGGTAAGTTTTTGCTAACTTCTATGCCTCAGAGGTTTATGGAAGGTGTGCATATGCTATGTCACGCTTCAGCAAACCATGACCCCCTGTGGCCTGGTGTGCGCTGTCAGTTTTCTTGGTCCTGATTGCCTGTCGGTGTATGCCTTTGCGCTGCCACTGGGTCTACAGATCGTAAACATTGTTGCCCGGTAAATTGTATCTTCTCTTTCTGTGATCCGGAGGAGTAATTACAGGCTGTTGGCGCCTAGCAAAGTTACAGGCGGCGTGCTGGTGATGGTTGCTGTCTCGCCCTCGTCTGTGTAATAGCAAGGGCCTTTTCGGCTAGTCCCTCTGTGCTTATCTTACGAGGCTGACCATCCTGAGCGTGGTGGCACGTGTAGGGACGGTCTCGGCCGTGTCAGCCACCTGCGCCCTCCCTAATCTCCGGTATTTCTGAGTTTTGTCTTGATGCCGAGTACAGATGAGGGAGTGGGGAGAAAGTGAGGTATATTCCGTGCAAGTCGCTGCGTTTGCTTTCAGCTTGTTGAAGTCGAGAGTCGAACTGTTATATGCCTCTCTTCGTCTTTCGATATCAGTAGGCACCACATTGAGTTTCCATATAATTCGCACACCACGACAAACTTAATCGCCTCCACCGTGTTTAGCCTAAACTAGTGTTCTGGCATTTCTATAAGTCTTACAAGTAACTTGGTGTACCTGCCCAGGAGGTCGAATGCCTGACTAGGTTCACGCCTTTATAACCTTGGGCAAAACTGCCTTATAGCGCCCTCTTAATATATATTCCCCCCCGCCCAACTGCCTAAGGTAGTTTGTGGTTTAACATTTAATTCTTGGTAAGTTAGTGTAAATAAATATTTAATTTTGATGGAAGTGATAAAAATATTAAATTAAATAAAGTTATATTTGTTTCAGTGTACTAACTAGAATAAAATTGCATCTAAATAAACTCCAGTTGCTTAGGATACTGATGCAAATTGAAGGGAATTCAATCTTATATTGGCGGAATTTAACGAAAGGGGAAATTCGACCTTCTATTGGTGGAATTTAACGAAAAAAGGGAAAGTCAGGTTACCGAAAATGTAAAAGTAGATTATTATCATAAGTCTAAGGCAAAAAGGACCCCTAAGGACAGTCCTGCCTGCCTTTGCATGCATAGACGCATGAAGTAATTTTGACAGCTTTTTGTCATCTACCTCACGAGTTCACTGTTTCTGTCCTTGACTCGACCCCTTGACCCATTTGGGGACGTCAAAGAAAGGGTCCACCCAAGATCTGGCTCGGAAATATTATTCCAGTCGTTGAGGTAGTTCTTGTGCCTTCGGTATTCGTCACGGCGAATAGAATGGATAGGATTGGTTACGCCTCGAGGTACAGTCCGTGCCGGCTTGATCATGTAGGGTTACAGCCATACCAAGGCCGCGAGGCGTACGATTAGGCACAGGCTGCGACCTTCTCATCAAGGCCACTGCCATATTTTTCAACCACCTACATACATATTTTCCATCAACTTTTTACCACAATGTTTTTTTCTTCTGAAAACAGATCGGTGAGGGCATGGCAGTAGACGTGAAGCACCCCGAGCCTCCGGCAGACGCGCCTTGG